CTGCTAAATTCATTCTCATAGACATGCCACCCTTTTGGATGATGCCTTTGGCCCCTCCCTCTTCCCTGTTTCAGTACGTGTTCCTTATCATCTAGAAAACTGCTTCTCCTTCAAGACCCACCTCCTCGTGGGTACCTTCCCCAAAGTAACAATCAAGCATCCCTCTGGGCTGTTATGAGCACGTTAGCCCTGGCTGGTGTGGCTCAGTGGGCTGGAGCGTTCTCCCTCACACCAAAAGGTGGTGGGTTTGGTTCCAGGTCACGGCACATAACCAGGCTGTGGGTTCGATCCCTGGGAGGTTGTGACTTGTTTGGGTGGCCACAGATCGATGTTTCTCTCTCACATTGATATTTCTCTCTTTCTCTCTCTCTTTCTCTCCCTTCTTCTCTCTAAAGTCAAGAATAAAAAATAATTTTAAAAAGAATACTTTATTCATAGCATTTATCATGCCAAATTTAAAATTACTGAATTGCAATTATTTTCTCCAGGGCAAGTACCATTTCTGATTAGAAATCAATCAAATTTGGTGTGTTATACAGTACCTGGTACATGGCAGGCACTCAGTATATACCCTTGAATGAACAAACAATAAAAGTATCATTCTTATAATTTACAAGGTCTTTTTCATGTACTTGTTTCCATCACATTCTCGTAATATGTAAGCATAAGAGTGTTTGGGTACAAGAGGCTCTATTTTTATAAACTGAGACTTATTAAACTTCTCTAACATGTTACCCAATTGCAGAGCTTTAAAAATACACAAAATAACCACCAATATATATATTTTTTTAAGTAAAGGCGTAAGAGAGCACGTGGCTCATGTTTTAAGAACAAGGTAATTATATAGATCATGATAATTACCTGTGGGTATCAGTAAATACGCTGCAGCTTGACAGCTGTACTCCAGGTTCAGGCTAGAATGCGTCTTTAATTTGCCACAGAAGCTGCTATTTAGAGCATCAGGCTAAAACCTGGAGGAACTCTTCGGAATTATAGTAGCATTTCCAAGTCTTCAGTTTCCATCCATTTCTTTCATGTAGCAATAATAATGAATTCAGTTAAGTAATTTTAAATCAGTAGGTTCTGTTGTCTCCCTGAATTCCTTGAAAACAGTTGAGCCAAAGTAATAAGGAAAGATAGTTGATTTGAAACCTAGAGCAGTGTTTACCAAAACATAATAACTTATGAGTGGCACATGAAATCAATTTAGTGTCACGCCAGCAATTTAAAAAAAGGAATAGAATAGATTTTTAAAAATATACTAGAGTGTGCTATATCAGGTAAGGGTATGTTGTTTTGTGAAATCTTTGTTTCAACTGTATGTGTATGTGTTTACTAGGTTGTAATGTAAAATTATATATTTTATTTCCCACTGGATTGGGTCAAAAGTTTGAAAGTCACCACCCTACAGGGCACAGCAATGTTGTTCGAGGAGTGGGATCAAGTTGAAGTAGCCACTTAATAAAATTGCTTTAATAGCTTGATAACAGTGTGATCATGTCCCACTTGGGGCCCCAAACCCCAGTTACATAATCATAATCCCAAAAGCATAATCAGCACCTGATTCATTCACCAGACTTGGCTTTAAATGACATTTAATTATTTCCAAAAGTGAAACCTGTCTCTAAGAGATGCACATTCACTACCACAGAAACTCTGCAGAAGAACTGGCTGTAGAGTCTGAAGTCAATAACAAAAAAGCAACTTGAAAATTATTCTCAGCAAAAGCAATCACTAAAATTGGACTCTGATCACTATTTTCCAGGGATGCTCCTGGCATTTCTGTTCACATACTTACCACATTTGCTTATAATTATTATATAGTTTTCTCTCAGTGAAACTGAGCCCCTATCATACAGAAACCTCATTTTATTATTTCTGTATAATCAGTGCCTTTACATATATTGTCTAGCACATAGAGACATTTAATAAATGTTTGTCGAGAAGACAGTACTCATTTGGATAAATACATGTTCTGAAACTTAATGAGTGACTCCAGGTCAGCGCACATGCTAAGGCTATTCATGCTTCCTGCCCACTTGAAAGAATATACTTCTCAAAGTCTTTCAGCCTATAAAACAGAACTTTATTGGAATTTAAAAGTCATAACCTTTTAAATCAAAGCAAAATTTAAAACAAAATGAGATGTTATTTTGACACCGAATTATCATGGATGCAAGCAGGAAAACAAGCACTGTCGGACAATGTGTGTGATAGAGAAAACTGAAGACGATCGTTTGGAAACACCTATCAAAAATCTTTAAATATACTTATTCTTTCATGAAGAAATTTTGCCTCTAGTTTTTTATTCTATGGAAAAATTAAGACCGCAAATACAGATACAAGGATATTAATTTCAGTGCTGTTTACAATAGATAAAAATGTCTAATACTAGAAGATTAAGGATGGAAATTATGGTAATTCTCACAATAGAATAGTATGCAGTCATGAACAATAATGATGTTCAATTATATTGGCTTAGAAAATATCCTTCAAAAGGCAGGCAACGAAGCTGTAAACTGCAGACTATCACCTAAAAATTTCTGTGAGGTGAAATTCACATAACATAACCATTGAAGTGAATAGTGCAGTGGCTAGTTAGTACATTCAGTTTATTGGTTAACTGCCATCTCTGTCTAGTTCCAAAACATTTTCATGAGCCCAAAAGGAAACCTGTACACATTAAGCAGTTGCTTTCCATTCCCTCCTTCCCCATCTGTGTTCTGTCTCTGTGATTTACTTATTCAGGATATTTCATATAAATGGAATCATACAATACGGTATGGGACCTTTTGTGTCTGCCTTCTTTCCCTTAGCATAATGCTTTGAAGGTTCATTTGCTTTGTAGCAGTACTTTATTCCTTTTTATGGCTGAATAATATTCCATTGTATGTATATGCAACAATTTATCTGTTCACCGGTAGATGGACATTTGGGTTGTTTCCGCTCTCTGGCTATTGGGAATGGTGCTGCTGTGAACATAGGTGTGCTGCAGAATCATTTTAATGATACAAGTATCAACTGGCAGAGAATAAATTCAGGAATATCGGCAGTCGTTATTTTGGGGTTACAGATGAATCTTTTTATATCATTAAGAGCTTTGAGCTTTAGAATTAAGCAGACCAAACTCCGTTTTTTCATATGTAAAGTTAGAAAAATAGAACATTAAATGAAACTGGATTATTGTAAAGAGTAAATGAAATATATATAAAGTACTTAGAAAAACTCGAGGGGGCACACAGTGCGAGTACTGGATACATAGTATGTTTTTAATACGTTATATATTTTTGTTACATTTATTTAAAAGTGTTCCTAGCGGAATAATATTGGTGTTAAGCAAGCTTTTTTTTGCGCATGGGTTTGCATGAAGCAAGCTTGTTTTGCGTGTGTATTTGCATGCTACACGCTTAAGATGCCTGTTCCTCTTTGCTGATAACCAGCCGGGCTGGTGCCACAGGCTGCCCGACTGTTTGACCTGATAGCATCACTAGACTAAGGCTAGTTCTACAAGGCGAACTCTCCCCCCAAGTTTTAATTAAAATGATAAACCACTTGCGCACTCTCCAGCCCTGGGCTGGAGCCCTTCTTCCATTTTAGTCTTTGTTTCGGCGCCGCTTCCTCGGCTGCGCATGCAGCCGCCCAGGTGGTTCTTCTTCGGGGCTTATGTGCAGCAGGGCGCAGGGGTGGGTGCGGGGCACCGGCTTTCTCACGCACAGCCAGGAAATTCTTTGCGATGAGGGGTTTCCAAAAAACATACAATTTCCTCCGGAGTCTCTCCTTGTACTCCCTAGAAAATCTCACATTTTATTTTTCATTGTGAACTAAACTACGACTTTTTCGCCAACTACGCACAGCAGAAGGCTTACGGTCCGGAGCCCGCGGGCGCCTTCCCGGGCTTGGGGCAGCCCCAGCGCGGGACCTTCGCTGGGAGCCCGGGGACAGCGCTGTCCCGCGGGGAGGCCGCGCGGGGCCGGCGCCTGGAATTCGAGTCCCCCCCGGGAAGCTGCGGGCGAGGGGGCGCATCCCCAGGAGCCC